ATATAGTAAAAATTTTTCTCCACCCCCCCCCCCCCCCCCCCCGATAATCCCTCCATCCTTTTATTTTTTTAAATTATTTTATAAAATATTATTAAAAAAATCAGATCTCACCCCCTCCCCGACTCCTTCCTAAAAAAAATTAATATTATAAAAAAAAATTCTACCCCACCCCATCTAATCCTCCGCTCCTAATTTATTTTTTTATTGTTTTTACATTTTTCTTTTTTTGTGTTAGATGTGTACATATATTTTTAGGAAAAAAATAAATAAAAATTTTATTTTTAAAAAAGTCTTGCGGCAAGTGAAAAATAGATTTTTAAATATATATAATACAAAACAAGGAAAAACAATTAAAAGCATATTATTTCAAGGGATTTTGAGGGGGGGGAGGGTACGGTGAGAGGAAGTGGTGGGGTGGGGTGAGAAAACTATTTTACATTTTATTTTTTATTTTTTGGGGGGAATAGTAATATTTTAATATTTAACTTTAACTAATACTAATAATTTATTTATTTTTTGTCAAGGTGGAATGGTTTTTCCATGTGAAGTGTGATGCGATAATTTTCTTAAATATAAGAGAGAGTGTATTACACACACCATGATAAAAGTGTAATAAAAGAGAGAGAGATGTGTTTCTCAAACTAATAAGTAATAATTTCAGTATAAAACTTACACTCTCAATAATTTAATTATGAAACTCAAAAATAAAAGGGATAGTTCAAGTGTGGTTGACCCTTATCTCTTGATTATAGTTGGCTACACTTTTAGTTAATATGTAAAGGAAATAGTGAACAACTAATATGGGGGAGCAATTATCATTTTTAGTTTTCTTGATATGTTAAAAGTAAAAGTAAAACCTATTTGAGAAATACTAGATAAGTAAAAGTAATCAAAGGAAGCATATCATTTCTTCACTTTATATATCACAACTTTGACCAAAACTTAGACAATATATCAACTTTAAATTAAAAAATTCCATCAAACAATATTTGGTTTGCTATGTTGTTTTTATGAATCCAGTTGCTAATATTATTTAAAATCCTTAGTAAATGGTTAAAAGTTCTCTCTCCAACTAAACAGGTACATTTTTCCATCATACCAAACACACCTAGATAACAAAGTTAAAACTGAAACTCATTGATACAAGGGAAGCTGAAATCTGCATTTTGAAGAAACAAACTCTAAGTTCTTGTCAGTGTATTTCTGGAATGAGAATTCTCAATTGCTCTTCCTCATGACGACTGATGAGGAATAGTACGTGAATGGTGGTTGGAATCATTCCTCTAAATAGAGAAAAAAAAATAGTTTCATCATATAAGTTGGGCAAAGAAATCAAGTTTACATATAGCAGAACAAAACTAAGTTTTTACCCCTAACAAATTCATAGATGAATGGATCGCATAGGAAAAGGCCGAAGCCTTCTTCAACCTTATTGAGCTTGCTCGTCTTCTTAAGATTAAATAGACAATGGTGCAGGATCATGTGATCCCATAAATAAAACCTCAAAAGATTTCTTGCCCTGCTGTTAGAGTGACTCTTTTCTTCTTTTGGAATGTACAAGGCTAATCAGTAACGCTAGCACGGATGTTGAATCTATCCATTCATGAAGAAATCAAATTATACCATTACTTGATCATCTACCAAATTACCTTTGATGTTGTTCACCTCTTGGCTTTGATTTCTTCTTTTCATCCTTCGTTCTTGGTGTTTTAACAGCTGCGCATAATGAATCAGTGACATTAATCTAATTGGTGATTAAAACAAAACAGCCAAAATATAAGAAAAATTAAGGTAAGAATTTATATCAGGAAATTGATGGAAGACTTGTGTCTGGATATGAATGGATGCCAATGGTGTATATATCACTCGTTGGTTGATATAAATATTTAATGTTGAAAAATACCATGAAAAATATCCACGTATAAATAAGACCAACTAATAGAAAGGACAAAAACGGATTAATGCAAATTCCACACAACTAACTGGAGGCCTCAAAAGAAAATGTGTAATGATTAAAACAGGGATCTTTCTTCTTTATGAAAAATAAGTGATAAACCAATGCAACCTTGAAGTTCCTTTCCTATGTGTTTCAGAACCCCACTAGTTGTTGGGGTTGACTCTAATGATAGAGTTAATGTTATGATATTATTGCAAGGAATGGGACTTAAGAGTTGAACCATATGTTGTGTGTCCCACATTGGTTACATGTGGAACTTTAGTGGGGCTTATATAGCCTTGGGTTCTCCCACCTTGATAGCCAGTTTTTAGGGTGTGGTTCTACTAAGGTTGTATCAATGGTATCAGAACCACCCATCATTCTCCATGCCCACTGTGCCTTGGATGGTGACGCCGGTATGGCATTGTTTGGCCGGGGCTAGCAATGTCTAGCTCACAGCTGTTGAGGATGACGATGCGGAGCGTGGTGGTTTGTTATGATATTATTGCAAGGAATGGGACTTGAGTTCCACATCGGTTTAATGAGGAACTGATGTGGGTCTTATATAGCCTTGGGATCTCCCAACTTGATAGCAATAAGATGAACTGACTAAATGAACCGCACTTCCTCCAGCAGATATGGGCGATAAAACAATGTGTTTCTCTTCACTTTTAATATGAGCTCATAAATGGATCATGTAGAAGCACAAAACACCATCTAAATCATCGTAAAAGGAAGCTAGCAACAATAGAATGCACCTTTGATATTTCTGACTGCATTTTTAACTTGCGATCGAAAGCAACAATCAGATAGAAAAGTATCTAATTCTATTTTCACTTGATAATATGGCAAGTAATTGCCTTTGTTTGGGATAATACTATACCTATAGATTGGATTGGCATGTTATGGCTGAAGGTTTTGGTTTTATCTTCGAAAAAAAAGCTATTTATAAATGAAAATGAAAGTCTTTTATAGATTAAAGTAGTTTTGGCTGGGGATCTGTTTCTTTACTTGTATTTATCCTCACCTCTTCCTGCATTGACCAATGTTTACAGCATGCATACATGCAGCATTTTTGTTCTTAAAGTGGGCTGTGTGGTTTGGCACCAGGGGCGGAGCCACGTAGGCTCCAGGGTGTCCAACTGGACACCCTTCGTCGAAAAATTATACTACATATACATGTAAATTTTTACTTTATATTGGTATATATAGAATTTGGACCCCCTGAAATAACAAAGTGATGTGCAGTGGAGTTGGCAATAGCCTGTGCAAACCTACTCTTTGTCCCGGTTCGATTCCCTGCAGGGATTTTTTCTTTTTCTGTAATTATTTTTACTTCTTAAATTCAATTAAGTAAATAAACATGCGTAATT